TTAAAATTGTGTGTAGTTTTTTAATTTTTTTATTTGTAATAAATTGTTTTAAAATGAAAAAACAAAATTCATTATTAAACTATTTTGGTAAGAAATCTTTCACTAATTATGATGAGGACGACGAAGATRGAAATCTTGAAGATGGTTGCATCAATAAGAATGAACAGAATGAAGTAATTATTAATTAATTACAAAAATAATTACTATATTGAATATGAATGTTTTAAGTTAAAACGACTTAAAACTTATTTAAGAGCAACTATGACTGGAGAAAGATTAAACGGCTTAGCTCTATCTAATATAAATAAAGATGATGTAGACTTTGAAGATATCGAAAAATACATTTTACCAGCTTTTTTAAAGAGATCTCCAATAAGAATACAAACATTGGACTGGACAAAATAAAAATATTTGAAAAATTAAAAACACTTGAATGTTATTTGAATTACCTATATTGAATTTTAATGTTATTTGAATTACCTATATTGAATTTTAATGTTATTTGAAATATATTGAATTTTAATGTTATTTATAAAAATTTTTTTTGGCCCCTCCCCCCCTTGTAAAAATCCTGGCTATCTGTATGCCAAATTTCAGCCAGATCCGTCCAATGGTTTGAGCTGTGCGTTGATAGCAGTCAATCAGCTTACTGTTTTATATATACAGATAAATTTCATATACATATGGAAAATATAACCAGCTGCTAACAATTCACAGTAACCACCGTAGACAGTATTATAGGATTTTCCATATCACAAACATAATCCTCAGGAGTAGAAAAGTTGTCACCATATGAGTTGTAAGACATATTATTACAAAGGTAGGTATTCCAATTATCAGAGACATACGCAACAATTGTACTTCGGATCTCCTGGCATCTTTCTTGAGTCTTATATAAATTAAAGGAAATCTTCAATAGATGACATTTTTTATAAATGAAAGTGAAAAAAATAACTGAATAATAAATAATGTCTTATGCCCATATTTTGGTATTGCCAATTAAAACCTCTAATCACTAATAATAATAATAATAATTTAATAATATAAATAAAYAAATATAATATTAATAATATTAGATATTGCTTGATAGATAGCGCCACTGTTGTATACTTACAACCACTTAATTTTACCTTTAGGGGTTGAATTTCCAAAAATCCTTTCTTAGCGCACGTCTACATCATAATAGCTATCTGTATGCCAAATTTCAGCCAAATCCGTCCAATGGTTTGAGCTGTGCGTTGATAGCAGTCAATCAGCTTACAGTTTTATATATACAGATTATCAATTCCATTAACATCGCCTTTTCTTTTTCGGTGAAATTTTTATTCCTCACACGTTTGGTAGCCATCATCGACGATAAATATTAAATTTGGTTTACAATTCAAATACGACTAATACGAGTGTTTTGAAATTTTGAATACTTTTTTACTATTTATTATTATTTGACACTTGATAATATAATCAGTAATCATTGTAATCAAATAAAATGTGGTGAAATTTATTTGGTAACCACAGTTATCGATAAAATAAAAAATTTTTTTGCAACTAATTTTTTTTTTTTCAACACTCATGAATGAATAAACCTAATAGACGAATAAATGTCGAAATGGGAGTTCAACATCCTAGTTTGTGGTCTTTCATCAACTATTTGCGAAAAGTACAAGCTGGGCGAGATGTATTTTACAGCCAACTCGAAGCAGGTAAAAGTCCCGCTAAAAAATTAAAGAAATTTATTGATGCCGATAAACGAATTTTAAAAATTGTTCAAAGTTAAGAAAATAGAACTGAAATATCGTTTTTACACGGAATCGCTCAAAATATTTCTCTGCATTAAAATAATATAATTTTTTAGTATTATTATAACACACGATACTTTATAGTTAATTTAAATGACTTAATAGTTTTGACATGAAAAACTTCTTAGATATTTTTGATATATTATAACTAACTAATATAATTTGTTTTAGATATATTTTTAATTTTTACATTTTCTATTCTTATATATTATATAATATAATATATTTACATTTAAGTATTTTAATAAATATAAATAACTTATAATTTTATTTACTAATTTAGAATTTTTTTTTGTCCAATTGTTCCCACGTCCAAACGGCTACGTCCATTTGTCCTAGATCGCTTAAATTGCATCTTAAAATGCAAGTATTTTATGTATAGACAAATTATATAATCTATTACAAATGGTTATGCGAAAGAGCCATATTTTCCCAACAAAATAATAGAGCAGATGATGTTAATCAAAATATATTACTCTCTTTTTTGAGGAAGAGGAAATATATAAATTGATTGAAACTGTATGTTATCCCGATGATGCAATACACTATCCCATAGAATTTTTAAATTAATTGATAGTATCAGTTTATCTTCACATAATACAGCACCTATCATGATTTAAAGTAATACTATCCCAGCATTATGTAATGGAACACTGATATGTGTGAAATTTTTAAATTATGTCATAGAAGCTAAAATATTAACTGAAAATAGGTGTAAAATATTATATCATATAATATTATTTAAATTTAAAACCCGATATATTCATTAATCGTTATAGAATTTGAAAATTATAAAATAGTTCTACTTTTTTAAACATTTTAAATGTTAAATTTGATTTTATTATATAAATTTGATAGATTTTAAAGATTGAATTTTATAAATTTTATTTAAATCTTATTTATTAAATTAAGAAAACGTACATTGTTAAGAAATATTTTAAAGAGTAATATAAATATAGATTAAGACCTGGACATAAATGATAATTATCAGGAAAAAATAAAAAAGTTTTTCTCCCTCGTTATAAATGTATATATTTTGTTGTAAAACATTGTGGAATTATTAAAATTCAAAATATTAATGCTATAAACGTATAAATTAATTTTAGCCATAACTTAAAATAACTCAGAGAGTTTACAAAAACTTAACAATTTAACAAGAATCAAGTTTAAATATTTCTTCATTGATTTAATTTATATATATAACAATATATTAAGTTAATCGTTAAATAAGTTTTAAGGATTAAATATTTTTCTAAAAAAAGAATTGAAATCTTCATCGGTAACCATGTGTTCACAGAAGTATGTAACTGGTTTATTTTGAGGGGGTGCTGGAACATAAATTCATATTACATTTTGTGATTGAGTGTATTAGGTTCAACACACTGATTGTTATTATTTTATAAATTACAATATTGACATTTTCAACAATCATAAACCAACTTATTCCATATTAACAATATGTATAACCATAGCGAAGTTGTAAATCAATTAAAACAAAAATGTTTTTCAAGGCTTTCATTTGCTGAAAAAAAAGTTTTAGTTGAAAATAGTAGACCGTGTCCAGATCTTGACATTTTAACAACAGTAAAAATTAAAAAGACTGCAGTTGATAATACGTCATGTACTCGGCATTTTCGTAAAGAACTTTATAATATATCTGATTGGTTATGCGGTTGTGAAGTATCGAATAAATTTTTTTGTTGGTCTTGTTTAGTATTTTCTACAAAAAAAAACTGTTTGTAACAATCAAGGTTATGATGATTTAAATCATTTAAATACAGCTGTTAAAAAACATACTGAATCAGAAATTCATATAGCTGCATATTTTAAACTTAAAACATTTTTATCATCTTCAACTGCTAGAATTGATATATCATTAGATAAACAAAGAAAAATAGATATTCAATTACATAATGAAAAAGCTGCTAAAAATAGAGAAATATTAAAAAGATTAATAAATGCAGTATGTTTTTTAGCTAAGCAGGAATTACCTTTTAGGGGACATAATGAAAACAAATATTCAGTTAATAGGGGAAACTATATGGAGTTATTGATTTCTAGCCAAGAATTTGATCCATTGTTACAAGAACATTTAGATACATCTACTATTTTTCGAGGCACTTCTGTTTCCATACAAAACGATTTAATAAATTCTGTTGCTGATGTTATTAAACATGAGATTTTTAATGAAATTCAAAATACACAATACGTGGCAATTATACTTGACGAAACGACTGATATTAGTAATAAATCGCAATTATCGACAGTACTGAGATATTTTTCACAAAACGAAAACAAAATTGTTGAACGTTTTCTTGGATTTGATGACATGAGTGCTGACAAAACAGCAGCCTCATTATTTAATCACGTAAATCAAGTAGTAGAAAAATTTAAAATTTAAAGCAAATTAGTGGCACAAACATATGACGGTGCAGCAGTAATGTCTGGTCATTTAAATGGTTTGCAAAGTAAAGTTTTAGAGAAATATCCTAAAGCTATGTTTACTCATTGTTATGCGCATGTTATTAATTTAATACTTCAACAATCATTAGAATGCAACAAGGAACTTAAAATATTTTTTCGAGGTCTTAACTCTTTACCTGTTTTTTTTCTCATTCTCCCAAAAGACTAAAAGCACTTTCAGAATTTATGACTAAAAAATTACCTACATTGGCTACTACTCGTTGGAACTTTACTTCACGATTAGTTCATACAGTTCATAATCATCGAACATCATTGATTGATTTTTTTATGTTTGTCTATGAAAGTGGTGATTTTGATCATGTTCTGGAATGACAGCAAAAGGATTTGCAAACTTTCTTCAAGAAAATAAAAACATTTTTATTATACAAATATTATCTAATCTTCTTATTTTTACTGACGAATTGTTCAATATTTTACAATCAAAAAATTTTGATATTTTATTTTGTAGTAAAAAAATACTTGATTTTAAAAAACAATTAAACCAAGAAAGGGAAAATTTTGATACTATATGGGCATCGTTTACTGAAAATTCAAACGAACTTGTAAGTAATCGCAGGGTTAGACAAACAGAAACTGACAAAAAAGATTATTATAAACGTCTCTATTTTGAAATAATCGACAATATACAAACTCAAATTAATATCCGTTTTAAATCGTTTGAAAAATTGCAATATTTTAATTTACTTAATCCTTCAAAAATTAAATGTTTTGCAAAAAAAGATAATTTTCCATCTAATTTACTTAAAAATTTACAAGTCTTTTATGGCGATTTTTTCAACTATGGTAAACTACAAAATGAACTTCATGTATGGTACACCTTAAACGAATCATCTGATAAAAGCCCTATTGAAATTATGAATTATCTTTCTGAAATGAGCTTAATTAGTGGATTTTCCGAGGTGTATAAATTGGCACAATTAATATCTACTATACCAACCACCACCGCTTCAGTGGAGAGATCATTTTCATCTTTAAAAAGAATCCATATGTATTGTCGTTCAACTCAAACTCAAGAAAGGATGAACAACTTAAGCATAATATCAATAGAAAAAGAATTGGTTTTCAAATTAAGAGCAAATAGAAGTAAATTTTATGAAGATGTTATAAACAAATTTATTGAGARGGAGAGRAGAATAGAATTTGAATTCAAATAAAAATCAGTCTATAATATATTCATTATTATATTCATTTGTACATTTTCAGTTTTATATTATATTTAATTTTATAGATATTGAATGTATTTTTAAAAATTTAAAAGTATTTAAAATAAATAATTTTAATAATATGTTGATTGTTAATA